TATTCGCCTTAACCGTGAACACCGTCGGCACCCCACTGGCATCGTATAATTCCCCCTTTTCCATCTCTCTCCCCGTGTCCTTCTCTCCTTTCCTCGCCGTCGACGGGGCCAGTCTACCGGGTGTCCCGGCCGGCGTCGCTCTCTCTTCCCCCGGGGGCGCGTGCGTCAGACGGACGCCGCCTGATCACTGACCGTGCAACGCGTTCCTCCTTTCTTTCCTTTAATTAGCCGCTTTTGTGGGCCACCAGTCCCGAGCAGGTATTTCCCTTTGCTCGCGTTACGCCGACTGCCTTGGTAACCGACGAACCTTTCGAATTGATCAGGAATATTAGGCCGTTCCGTATGCTCGCTTCGTGTTTTCTGTTTTCAACGTGTTTCGTCTGGCAGACGCTGCGTTAACGTAGTATTGCGAGGCTGAAGAGAAGCGAAGGAAGGTGATTAACAGGGGTGTACTGTATATTTCAGTAACATGATGTGAACGCGTGAATAAAGGGAAAAAACTTTTGTACAACCTAATGTAATACTTGGCCGAGGTTTGCACGGCTAGGAGTACTGTAATGAGTCCTCTAAGCATCGATGATGGAAAGGGCAGCGAAACGTCGGAAAATGGTTCATGGACGCGGTTTATATTGGAAGTTTGAACAGTTTGAATTGTTAGAAGGAACCGTGTTTTTGATGTTGCTTTGTTCAGGTGATTTGGGAATGTCGTCTGTGCGACTCTCGGGAAGCGTTCGTCGTGAGCTATGCGGATGACGTCTTTGTGTCTTATATATTGTAATCTCTGGTATCGAACACCTAATATCTCAGTTTCGTTGTCAGTACTTGTAACACCCAACGTTTTATCGAGACAATCTATCACCAGAAATATTCAGCGTCTAAAAGTACTATTTAATTAAGAAACATAGCTATCTTACCTCGATACTTCATATTTATAGCATTACACGAAGCTCAATATAATGCATGAAACTTTAACCCTTTGCACTCGGTTGACATTGTAAGATAAGTTTGTAACTTCGTTTTTAGTCGAACGTAACTTTAAAATGTACACGCGGTTTTTCAATGACAAAGCAGAGTCTTGAATCTTTTACAGAGGCACGCTCGTAACTGATAGTTCACATTAAAACTGATTCGGAGTTGCTGAAAGATTATATCAATAATTGCTCGGAGCGCAAAGGGTTAACGTTGAATATCGAGACTCTAATTTCGGACCGAACATCCCCTTCGAACATAACGCGTTCACCGAGTTCCCTCGAGTCGAATTTTATTTCTCGATGTTACATCCGCGAGGCGTCGTTCTACGGAAAGCAACGTAACCGTATCACGCAACATCGCCCCGCACCGCGTGTTAGTACCTGGCAAAGCACACGCGAAGTATAAAAGCGAAGTGTCGTCGTAATTATTTTTACACCGTATTATCCGTATTGGGGGATAGGTGGAAGGGGAAAGCTCGAGGGAGTCTCGAGCCCTTTAAACCAGAACCGAATGGCGAAGGGCTGGGGACGGGGGTCGTCGCCCCTTTAAATTATCCCCCGTTTCCATCGGGGAGCCTCGCAAACAGCCGCCCGCGCCGCCTGTTCTTTCCACGCGGTGTTTTCGGAGTCATCGTCGGTGGATTACGTCAGCATCCAGAGCCACCGCGAATCGAACGAACCGTTGACGCCGGCTTTACGAAACGCGTCACTTTGACGCATACAGAATTCGATAAACATTATTTACTAAGTGTTCACGTCGATTTTGATCGATGCAATTACGAGAATACGTATCGCGAATGTCTATTTTGAAACTCCTAATTTCTAAGATTTCGACGAACGAATATTCATTTTGTTAGGAACGCTAGCTTTACGAAACGCGTCACTTTGACGCATACAGAATTCGATAAACATTATTTACTAAGTGTTCACGTCGATTTTGATCGATGCAATTACGAGAATACGTATCGCGAATGTCTATTTTGAAACCCCTAATTTCTAAGATTTCGACGAACGAATATTCATTTTGCTAGGAACAACAGAATAAACTACAATAAACGTCCGTAAACCTAGTGTTAACGCTAGATTCATCGAACGAGTCGATTTCACTCGTTTTCAGTTTTATAAAGATTCTTTGGTAAATTCTTGGGATTGATTTGGGACTGATGCACTTGGGAAAATGTGTAATTGTCTAATTTATAACCACTTGATTTGACACAGTAAAACTATAGAATGTGATATCTAACCCTTTGCACTCGACAATATTTTTCATTAAAAATATTCATTACTTTCTGACTGAATATCAACGATATTTTTCGCAACGAACACAATTGATTATCTTCTGGAAATTAAGAGACAGAACTATCTTACTTCGATGTTTTATACGTTGATACATTGAACAAGGTTTAATGTTGAATTGAAAATTTTATAAGTTTGCTGCGTCGAATCGGGTGGCGACTGTAAGGCGCCCCTCGAGTGCAAAGGGTTAACGTTAAACTTTGTATAATGCCTCGATAGTGAAACATTAGAATAAAACAGCTTTGTTCCTCAATGTATTGGTGATTTCGAATTAGTCTCAAAGAATATCGTCTTCGCCTCGTCAAACGTTAAATATTTCTAGTAAGAAACATCCGAGTGCGAAGGGATAACATGTGATTCTAGTGCTAACCCTCGACGCGTCGATGGCAGTGGCTGGTTAACAGTTATTTGATATAACGAATAATTAATATATTTGTCATTCGCATGCGAAAACAGTTCAGTTCATTCAGTAGCTTGAATAACTTAGAAATAACGAGAACGAAATTTTGTCTTTGTCGCTCATAATCGATATCGTTCCGTTCGATTTTTCGGTGTCGTTTAATCGGGTTGGACGTCAGGTTCCGTCGAGGAACGGGAAATTTTACCGCGCGCGACGAAGAAAACTGGGCTACGCGGAAAAATCCTCCTCGCGAGTTAAGGGCGAAGAAGAGCCTCTCGAGGCTTGAACGAGCTCCCTTATTCCACTTAAATTATTCTCGACGGTGCACGACGATGCTGCGAGCGGGAAGCGGCCGATTCCTTATGCAAAAATTGCTCAGAAGTAGCGGAGACGGGGCTTAATTCCCGAATCGCCGATCGTGATCGCGGAATTGAAATTGTAACGCGCGGAACGAAGCCAGTTTAGAAATACGAGTACGAGTATTACGATGGAAAGAATTCTATTATCATCGTTAGCTCTGAAATCCGAGTCACCGATCCAAGTATCTTTCACAGATCGTTAATCCGATAGACTTAGATAGAGATAATTAGATTCTATAAGGCTAGAGATATTTTAACACGTTAAGCGCCACGGAAATCTTAAGCGTTAAAAGTTTTTCTTTCGTAGCAAAGAAAAGCAGGAACAATTATTAATCATTTGACGTTACAATGTTTGCATAACGCTATTATCAACATAATTACGTTATTAAACATTTTCATTTCACATGAGTTATCTCGTATGTTACGATTGTTTTCTAGTTATTTAACGCGTTAAATGTTACAAAGGACACTGTAAAGGTAATAAGGTTAGAAAGCTGGGGATATTTTCAATTTGACCAGGATAAGGTTACAAGGTTTGAGATATTTCCAATATTACAAAGATAATGACACTGTGAGGCGCAAGATATTTTCGATATCGTAAAGATAAGTATATTATAAAGCCCGAGATATTTTAAACATTACAAGGATATTATAAATACATGGCGATTATTATTTCAAAGAAAATCGTCCGACCCTTTTCCACGTACACAGCACTATCACCGGAAAGCCTATTAACAGATTTTCAACGAACGAGGTATCCAAATCGATCGTTAGCCGTGAAAAGTCCCTCGTAAACCCGGCTGTTCCGCGAACGATCGTTCCCCGAAGGAATTCTCGTCGAATCAACCTGGCATACCTGAAGAGGCCGCGCGGAAACGGACTCACAATATTTTGTTCACTTCAACCGTAAACCTCGTCCACGGTTGTTGCTACGCGCTCGCTCGCGTACACGATCGCAAAAACGATCGGGATCCCGTATTTCCCTTCGTCCCCGCCTCTCCCGACGGACTTGTGCATCGAGTACAGTATGTTTTCGTTCGAACAGTCGTTTTTACGTCCTTCGAACGTATTTCCTCTATGTTTCTAGGCACCGACTGTGTTTATACTCGAGCTTCTTCACTCTGATTCTTGTCCGAAAAAACCGAAGCAATTCGGTTGTGTCGTTCCGATCATTGAGACGTCGAAAAAGTCGGGAAATTATCACTCGCGAATAGGATATCGCAATCGCAATTAATGCTTGTTTAACACTAGAACTATCGTACCAGTCGAAATGTTTCAGTTTTTCTGTTTCGCAATTATTGATATCTTCGAAATGATTTTGAAAATAAATAGTTTCATTTGAATACTATAATGAACGTCCGAAGAAACTGAAGTAATCTATTGTTACAATGTTGATAATTATTACATTTCAGTCGTATGAAATGCTCGGTAGTTCTGGTGTTAAACCTTACCAGGTATCAGTGATCATCATTCGATTGCATTGACACTTAGCCGACCGAATGGGGAGATCTCCCACTTTTCACTCAGCAACGTATCGCCTTTTATTCTGTTTATTTCTTTTGTTGTTTAGTAAGTCTTGAACTCGGATTATTCGCAGTCCATCAAATGCGGTTCTTTTTACAAAACACAGTTTCTAACCGAATCGATTGAACGAGTTCAATTGAAGATAACGGAGGAGTGTGTTAACGTTAAGTGTGCAAGAGACGTTCGTAAACCTTGTCAACCGTTTCTACTCGAGAGTCGATCGAATTTATTCGAAATTGATCGAAATCTCGCGGTATAACGATTCTCGCTTGAAATCCGAGTGAACTCGAATAGAATCGTTGACCGGAGTTTCTACTAAAATCACTTGAGAAATCTCGAGAATCACGAGGAATCGTTTCGCGAACGAGAAGAAGAAAATGGCCGATGATTTTTCGTGCGGTTGCGGTGGTTAACCCGATTAACGCACGCGTCGCTGTTGGCTTGTTTCAGATTTCGTACGTAGTTAGAGAGGTCCCGGTAGAAGAGTGCAATGATGTCGAACGGAATGGACACGATCGTGCAACAAAACGGTGGTTCCACCCTCGGACAGGCCCCGCAAGAGGAGTCCAAGACGAATCTCATTGTAAATTACTTGCCCCAGAGCATGACACAGGATGAGATCCGCTCGCTTTTCTCCAGTATCGGCGAGGTGGAGAGCTGCAAGCTGATCCGCGACAAACTCACCGGTAAGTTGATTGCTCCTCTTACTTATTAGAAGATAATTCATCGTTATCATTCCTAAAACGAGTCGATATATTACTCGTTAATCACTTTGCCCGTGAAACGTTCCATTTTCAACGAGAACCTAGATCCAACGTTCATTCGCAGCTTTCACTGAAATGAGAATCGGTTAACACTAAAACTACCAGAGGGGTCAAATGACCCATGCCTGATGTCTTCCATTTGCAATTATTAGAAAGGTAACAAATGCTTCTCTGAGAAGTTATTAGAGAAATTCATTTAGCACTACGCAAATTGAATTGTAAATCAATTAAAGTCTGAACAGAAGTCTTGGAGCTTCTATAGCGAAATTTTCAAAAGTCAATTGAAGTGCTCGGTAGTTTTAGTGTTAATACTGAAACTATCGAGTATTTGAAATGATCGATACGTATTTATAAAAATGATGAAAGCAGATTTGATCGAATACTTTGAATTGCAGTCAGAGAAATTTTTACAATAGGATATAAATGCTCTTGTGATTTTAATGGTTATGAACTAAGAAGTCTAAGACTAATTGGTAATAATCTACTTATCTATCGGCGCATCCTCTGAGTAAGGCAATTCTTGTTAACTTGCTCATCTGTTTATCGTAATGCACGATCTTCTCCCATTCGTCGATTGATTCAACGCCATTTTTTTCAACTCAGAAGCTAATGCGGTTAAGTCCAGAAAACAAATTGAAAGAATTAATGTTTTGGCTTCCGAAACGACAACATTTTCAGAAGTTATGAAACGAAAGGGTTTCTAATCTAGGAAACCGAAGAAATGAAATCCGCGAATAATGAATAGGAATATTATTTATTCCATTAACCCTGTGCGGACGAAGATTTTTTAACCCTTTGAACTCTGTAGGCTCCAATATTGCACCAGTTATAATATAAAATATTTCAATGAATCGTAAAGAAACTACCCTAAAATTATTCGATTTTCCACACATCCGAATTTTCTACTAAGGAAAATAAAAGCATTTCTGATTTTCGCTAGGAATACTATAAAAATTAGTTGCCGATAGATTACAAAACAACCTGGAGTGCTAAGGGTTAACATACGAAATCTTCTGCAGATTCTGCAAATTCGATGCCGAATTCTTGAATATTAAAGAATAAAGGAACCATGTTCTGATTTCTTGCTGTCGAAGCAGTTGAATCGCTCGTTTGCAATTTGCTATTCGAAACATGAAAGTTTGCTCCCGGCAAAATGTCGACGTTCGTCCGCAAAGGGTTGAAATTCAGAAAAATCAGATGATATCAAAAAACAGACTCAACTGCATTGGTTTCCGAGCGACTCGTATCGCGTTCGAATCTTGTGGAAGAAGAGAAATCTGTCGAAAGCCTCGCACTACAGAGAAAAACTGATCGACACGGACCGATCGGAAGTCGCGCGGCCTCGGTAACGGACACCTGTCGATGCCAGATGCCGCGAGAGCTGTCGATGGAAATCATTCGGTTTCGAGACGCGCGACAGCCTTCCATCAAACATCACGCGTTTACGTACAACAAGCTCGGGGTAGTCTGGATCGGCATTTCCCGATCGCCGATCCGCAGAGGAACGATAAATAAAAAGTAATGACACAGGACGTTGAAAAATGGCAGTTTCGTAGGGTTACTTGGCAACGAAACGTTCCTGCAGCATCGTTAACCCCTTTGCCTCACGATTTCCAGGTACACTTGGTAGAACTATTTGTTGTTAATAGTGTACTGATAAGGTAGGAAAGTCCGTGCTCTTTCTATGTAATTTACTCTAAACCGTGGAGGTTTCTATCAAGAGAATGTTCCATTTTTGAAATTTCCAATGTTTCATTAGTTCTGTTTTCGAAATTTCCAATGTTTCATTAGTTCCATTTTCGAAATTTTCAGTGGTTGATTAATTCCATTTTCGAAATTTCTAATGTTTCATTAGTTCCATTTTCCAAATTTCCAATGGTTGATCAGTTCCATTTTCGAAATTTTCAGTGGTTGATTACTTCCATTTTCGAAATTTCCAGTGGTTGATTAATTCTATTTTCGAAATTTCCAGTGGTTGATTAATTCTATTTTCGAAATTTCCAATGTTTCATTAGTTCCATTTTCGATATTTTCAGTGGTTGATTACTTCCATTTTCGAAACTTCCAATGTTTGATTAGTTCCATTTTCGAAATTTCCAATGGTTGATTACTTCCATTTTCGAAGTTTCCAATGGTTGATCAGTTCGATTTCCAATATTTGAAAACTTCGTCACGAGTCTGTCAAGATATTATTAATCGAGGAGTTAAGAGTGCTCCCTAAGGAACGAAAAATACCTTTATCACGTCTCGTTTCTCTCCGCTATAACTTTCAGAGGTGGAATTAGCGTTAATATATAATTAACACACAATTAGCATTAATTCATCGTTTCTAATAGCTGTTGTGGATTAATTCTAAAACCCGACAGCTTGTCCACGACGTTCATGGATATTCTACGTTTAATTTCCATTGATCGTAACGATTGGGAGTGAAAATGGTAAACGATGTCAGAACCGAAGCCCTCGAACGGAAAAGACAAATATAGATAGATAAAAGATAAGTAAATATAACGCAATAAAGAATAAAAGGATTGGCACCGTGTCAGTGAATATCAATCGATACCGAGTAATCTAACGCACACAACTAATTTCTCCCGGTGAACGTCAAACCTAACGGGTTTTAATAAATTTTTTGAATTTAAAACTCAACGGACGCTAACTCCTTGGAAATTGGTAACTCCTAATTATTTGGAAATAATTCATTTACTAGATTATTCGGAAATGCATCGCTCTATACAAAATTATCAATAAAAAAAAAGGAAAAAAAATTAGCCTACATACCAACGTATAAAGATAACATTGTTCAAGATTTTTGGCAAATCTGAAGCAATTGCCAGCGCAAGATGTTAACACGTTAAACGCCACATCAGCCATTGATGACTGACGCTGAATTACTTGGAAACAATCGTAACATGCAAGATAACGGAAGTCCAATGAAAAGGTTCAACCCTTTGCATTCGATAATATTTTTCTTAATAAATATTCATTATTTTCTGATGAAATGTCAATGATATTTTTTGCAATTAACATAAAGAAGTACCTTGCACAAATTAAGCGACAGAACTATTTTATTTCGATGTTCCATGTGTTCGTACATTATATAAAATTTAATATTGAATTTTCAATTTTACAATGTTCTAACCCTTTGCACTCGAAAGTTTCTCAATATGGAAATATTCAACACTTTCCGACGATATATAGGTCATATTATTTGAAACTAATTTAACGATAATTCATAGATAAATTAAGCAACAGTTTCATTTCAATATTTCACGTAGCAATGCAAGCTTTAATTTGAAATATCAAATATTCAACTTCATAGTTTCGTTGTCTCGAATCACGTGGTGACTGTCACCTCTCGACTGCAAAGGGTCGATCATTGTACCCGATTTTCTTGCTACGACGGAACAACCCTACAATAAACTGGCGAATATTTCCATGGCGTTCAACGTGTTAAAGAGACACGGCACTTCGAAAATCGATCGCCACGAAGAACAATCGAACGAACGTGAAAACGGCGGGCAAAAGAACGCGTCTAAGGCAGGGTCTGTTAGCTTAGCCTTACTGACGAGTCCCGCTAGCAGACCCGGGGACGAAACGCTTCGCGTATCGCAATCGAACTCGCGAGTCGCCGCACAGTGGGGTATTCGACCGATCTGGGTGGCCAAAATCGAGGACGGAGTTGTCACGAGAAACTACGAGAATGTAATGTAATAATGTACAATACTATCATATGCTGTAATATATATATAACACTATTATATATAATACATGATAATGCATGATCAGTATATAATTGTTTGATTGATTGATTTTCCGTGAGT